GAATGAAGGGCCAGGCGTGGTGACTCACACCTGTAATCCTACAATTTTAGGAGGCTGAGGCAGGCTGACCACTTGAAGTGAGGAGTTCAAGACCAGCCTGGCCAAAATAGTGAAACCTTGTCTCTACTAAAAATACAAAAATTAGTGGGTGTGATGGCATGCACCTGTAATCCCAGCTACTCAGGAGGCTGAGGCAAGATAATTGCTTGAACCAGGAAGGCAGAGGTTGCAGTGAGCTAAGGATCGTGCTACTGCACTCCTGCCTGGATAACACAGCGAGGCTGTGTCAAAAAACAAAAATAAAAACCAAAAGCAAACAAAAAAAGTGAATGAAGAAAAAAATAAGTTTCAATATAACATTGTTCATAGTAGCAAAAAAACTGAAAGCAACCTAAATGCCCATCAACAGTGCGATTAATAATATACTGCAATATAAATACCCAGTGAAATACTTTAGTTTTTTAAAAGAAAAAATTATAGTTAAAATTGTATGTATATAATATATATATATATATTATTATTTTTTTTTGGCCAAGGAATGATTAACATAAAAATCAAGATCGTGGTTAAATCTGCTTCAAGAAGAGTCAGGCGTGTGATCAGGAAGGGGCATCCTGGTGGTTCCTTAATGTCCTGATAAGGGTGTTGAGGCAAAGTGGGAATTCATTTTATCGTCATTCTTTAAATGATACCTGTATATGTACACACTTCTGCATTTATGACCCAGTTTTAACACAAAAAAATATTTAAAACTCTCATTGAATCTTAATTGTGCGAGTTATCTATCTGTACTTGCAGATGGAGAATACGTAGACCTTGGTTCACCATCCTAATCTCCTGTGTTGAACCACAACACATTCTGATTTTTTTGGCAACTTCTAGATGAATTCTTACAACTTTGATGAAAATAATTGGATACAGAAAATTTTTTATTTTGCTAGGTAATCTCAAAAAGCAAATTTCTGGTATAAAATGAAATGACTTACAGAGAATTTGGTAGACGGCAATGATTGTATGTCAGGTCTGTGTCTGCAATTGTAAATAAGATCTTGCCATTCTTATAGTCAGGCTGTGTTATAGTAATCCTGATTTTTAAATTTCAGTGCTGTATTCAATTGTCAGTGAGCATTGATAATGGTCACTCTTTATCTCGTTTCCAATTCTGTCAACACTATAAAAGGAAGACTTACAATATCCTGTAATGAATAGGCAGGACTGTATCCAGACACCTGAGACATGTTTTCATGTGATGTACAGCTTTTTGTTAGTTATAAGCTGAAGACGAACTCAAATAAAACTTATAACCCAGAAGCATAGCCAATTAGTCATTTAATGTATTTTCCAAACCGCATGCTATTTTATATATGCAGAGTAGATTGGTTGTGAGGACACTTAAAAAAATGTACTATGATATAGTTATAAGAAGTGTTAATATTTAAAAATGTGTTACAACCAAGACCAAAAAGGAGAGAAGCATAATTCAGTATTTTCTATAAATTTCATAAATGTCTGTGTTTAAACATTCCTAGTAAATATGTATAACTGTACATTTTTAAACTTTCTCTGGTAAATTCAGTAAGTATTGAATAATTGCTCATTATCAAAAGGTTGTGAATTTGTCTCTCTCCCTTCCAGCCAGATGACAGGAGCCTAAGATTCCAATGGTATGCTCAGGACTGACATCACCACATCAGGACTGACACATCAAGGATTCAGCTGCATGGTCCAGGCTGGGGAGGATGTCAGGGATTGGTGTGGCCAGGACCGATGCAGCTATGACTGGGGATTTATTTGGCATATTTGGACTAGGTGTGATGAGACAGCAGCTGGCACTGTCAATAGGTTGAGGGAGGGAGGAAGAATGAACAAATTATTTATTTAGGATTATGGGAGTCAGGTTTCTATGAAAGAAGGAAGTTACAAAGATGGAAGGGAAGACTAAAATTAACCCCAAAGGATTGAAGGTGTCGATGTGAACTCAAAGTTTTCAATACGTATGTATGTAAATACATATAGAAGTAGGTGAATATTCTTACATGTGTGTAGACACATGTTTTTCTTTGAGCTGTTAACCAACAGGGCAGTGAGCCTTTCTCAGGTCTTCATTTCCATATACCATTCCCCATTTAAAGAAACCAGGGCTCCTTGGAAAAATGGCTAATTCTAGACCTGGAGTAGGGAGTAGGAAAAAGTTTAAGATGAGCTTATAAAAAAAAATAAGAGCCAAAAAAGGAATGAGACATCTGAAAGGAACACAGAAGCCAGCTGTGTTCCTTTGAGATGAGAGACCCCCGAAAACCAAATCTGGGAAAATTTCAGCATGAAAATGAATGACAGTAATACATTGTAACCTACTGAATAAAGTGGGCAGTCATGAGTCTACGCTGATTTAAGTAAATGAATGAATAGAGAAAGAAGAGCTCTTTCTTATAGTAGTAGGATGCCAACCAAAGCAGAAGTCATAGACTCACCAGTTGACAACCAAAATAGTAATTGATTCAGTCAGGTATTGTCAACAGACTCAAACTAGCTGGTGAAAATTTGATGAGAAACAGGACACTTACAGTCTTTAAGAATCTCCTCACAAAGTACTTCCTAATTTTAATTTTACAATGGAGAAACATAGTAGACACTATCTGAACCAAGTGACCAAAATTAATACCTCCAGGAATAGGACAAATTGACATTGTGTGCATCTTGGCATGACACATTGAGAATACAGCATTGTTTCTGTGGTAGTGGACAAAACTGTCTATCCTAAATCTTACGGGAAACATAGATACACCCAAACTGAGGAATATTTTACAAACTGGCCAATACTCCTCAAAAGTCAACGACAAGACTGAAAAGCTGTTCTGGACTGAGTGAAACAAGAGACAGGACAAATAAATGCACCATGTGGTCATGGATTGGGATGATAGAACACAGGAACATTACTGAGGCAATCAGAATCAGTAAATTGAATGTGGTCTATGGATTAGATCTCATTATGATGCCAATGTCAGTCTCTTAAATTTGATGGTTGTACTAAGATTATGCAGGAATGCCCTTATCTTAAGGGAACACACACTAACATAGATAGAGGTAATGGTGCAAGAAATATTTTGGCTGGGATAACATTGAATTTATAAATAAATGTCAAGTAAATGAACGACTGAGGCTTCTAATTTGTGTACATTATAGAGTGCTACATTTATTTAGGATCTCCTTAAATGCTTCCTGACATGGTCTAACATTTTCTCCATTAAGATCTTGTATGTCTTTTGTTAGATTTATTCTTTTTTTTTTTTTTTTT